GTGGACAGTTTGTGGGTGAGTTTGTGGGGGACAACTGTGTTGAAGGTGGAGCTGTAGTCAATGAAGAGTATCCTGATGTAGGAGTCTTCATTTTCCAGGTGAGACAGGGAATAGTGGAGGGCAGCCACGATGGCATCTGAGGTGACCCTGTTGGGCCAGTAGGCATACTGCAGGGGGTCCAGGGTGTCTGGTATACTGCTCTGAATGCGGGCCAGCACCACTCTCTCAAAGCACTTTATAATGATTGGGGTGAGTGCCACTGTCCTGTAGTCATTCAGGCAGGTGACCAGGCTCTTCTTGGGAAGGGGGACGATAGTTGTGGTCTTAAAGCAGGTGGGAACGATGCTCTGGCTGAGGGAGAGACTGAAGATGGTGGTGAGAACATCAGCCAGCTCACTGGCACATGCCCTGAGAGCCCTCCAAGGGATGTTGTCCGGTCCTGCTGCTTTGCGGGGGTTGATCTTCATCAGGACTGTGCGTTCCTGGCCTGGTGAGACAGTTAGTGGAGGGGAGGTGGGGGGTTGGGTGGTGTGTGTGTGCCTCCTTTCTGTGTTGTGGCTGGAGGTTTCAAAGCGGGGGTAGAAGGGGTTGAAGTCCTCCGGCAGGCTGTCTGTGGAGCTGATGATGCTGGTGGTGGTCCTGTAGTCTGTGGTGTGCTGCAGGCCTTGCCACATCCGTTCAGAGTCAGCAGTAGAATGGTAGATAGTACCACTACATGCAACAGTCCGATAGTTCGAAATGTGTATATATGCATCTAATTTTTATGAATACTGCCTCTCCTCCTTCTCTCATGCTTTCCTTACCTTTGATTGCACCATTCTATTGTCTGTTGCCTAAAACACACTGAGAGCCTCTGTGCCAGAGATGAATTCCTTCTATGCTCAACATACTTGGCAATTAAAGCTGATTCTGATTAACAAATTACAGCAAAAACAGACTGTGCAATCCCTATGTTGGTATCTCCTGTACTGTAATATTTTATTCACACTTTATATTGCATGTATTTTATGTGAAAACCCCTCCATACCTTCTTAAGGTGCTCCTCCATGCCTGGCATCAACATAATACAGGCAACACCCACTCCCAGAAGGAGGAAGAAGGCATAGATGAGGCGAGTCACTGTGGAGTTATTTCCGCTGGGGCAGCATCGACACAGCAGGCAAGGGGCACTGCCGCAAAGGCATGGGATCTGCAAATACAAATCACTGTTAGGCTACTATTAAAAATGCTATGGACTCCCCGGTGTCTCCTATAGTTGCCAATCTGTACATGGAAGAAATTGAGGAGAAAGCCCTGTCTTCCTTCACTGGTACTGTTCTCAGCTACTGGTTCTGCTACATGGACGACACATGGGTTAAACTCAGGACCCAGGAGGTAGAGGCTTTCACCAAGCATATCAACCCTGTGGATGTCAACATCAAGTTCATGTGAGGATGCCAGAGATGACTGTCTGGCCTTTTTAGATTTTTTTCAGTCATAGCCTTGAATTGAAATTATTTTTCAAATGTTAGTAGCTTTGATTTCTACAGAATAAGATAATGAATTATGGATGCAAACATGTCTGTTCATATGCAATTGCAAAACACAAATCGACAGTCACCCCAGGAGTCATTTATGAACCTGATTATGCAACAGAAATGGGGGTGAGGCAGTGCAGTGGGCTCCACATGACGCAGTAACGCCAGTCTGCTGACTGCAGCCGATAGCCGAGTCTGTTTACATGGCCGCAGTGTCGCAAGAGCCCGGCTGCTTTGTTGACATCATCGCCAGCCGCCGGTTTACAATGTTCACAAACACTAAACCACCAAATACACTTCGAAATGCTGCAGATTTGGTTGGACTTCGTTTCCGCGTCATAAATGTAGAGCAGTTCACCGAGTCATAGCATTTAAGGCTCGACGTGTTTATGTGTTTCCTAAACAAAGGAAGGTGTCATGCGGCCCTGCAGCTTGTTTCCGTAACTACTAATTATTTATCCACAATATGAACTATAACTTCTGAGGTGGAACTACAGCTGATCAGTAATCAATGCTGGCTAGCTAACGTTACACTGTGCTTACTGTGCCTACGACACGGCCTGCTATTTTGTATTATTGCGCAGTCATGACAGCATCTGTGAAACCAACTAGCTACTAGCAGATAACACACACAAGCTGCTTGTACTGTAGATATAAAGTATGAAGCGTTACGTACCCAGCTTGCCATGGAGCATAATCCGAGAACGGCTCCCATGATGGCTGATGTTTGTTCTTTTCTTGTCTGGAGATCACACCGGGCTCAGACGTCTAGTACTTTCCTACAAGATGGATGATGCTTTCTCTACCCTTGCTCTGCCTCTTCTACTACAATGCTGGGGTTGAAATATGCGTTTGGTGCCCTCCACTGGACGACTTTAACACTCCCACCTTGCCAAAAACAGCTGCCCAAATAAAACCAAACTATGCCTATCACATTTAGTGACTGAGGATATTTGTAAAGGAGTGGAGATTCTCTTTTATAGGGCAACAAAGTCGGGTGTAGGTTTTATTAGACTTAACACCTTTTAAGAAACCTTAATCCTTAAAATGAATATGAACAATCAAATTAAATACATAAAACAAGAATTACTGCTTTATGGTTGTATGCCTCCACCAACTAGTCAAATTGGACAGACATGAGGTCTCCCACCTTTGACCACCAAAATCTAATCAGTTCATCCTCGAGATCAAGTGGAACTTTGTGCAAAATTGGAAGAAATTCCCTCCAGACCTTCCGGACATATGGTGTTCACAAGAAGGGGACAGTCTGACCTTGACACCTTGACCTTTGGCCACAAAACGTCACTTTATTCACTAGGTGCTATTCTGATTGGCTGGGGTGAATGAGAGTAATCACCTCCAGCCAATCAGAGTAGATGCTTATAAATAATGAATATTTTAACTTCCAAAACAGCCTGCCAGAGGGGAATGTGGGTTGTTGGTAATATGGAATTAGTGAAAGTGAAACAACTTTGGGCAAATAAATGTCACATATATGCTTTAATTGCACTCAATTGTTTTAAAAATAGTTCAAAAAGGGCCATAATACCAGCACTTTAAGAGACATTTTTCCTGAGACTCTCTCACAGATGCACACACACACACACGACACTAGTGGAAACTGTGAAATGACTTTATTTGTTGCTTGTTTAAACAGGTTAAAGTACAGTAACTAAATTCACTTTCCCAAGTCTGAACTCAAAAAGGAGTAAGCCCCTACTGAACACAACACCGTCTGAAGGAATGCTGCTTTATGAAGAGCCTCAGTTCTGTGAACAGGCATGTAGCAAAAGATAAACAAAACAGAATAAATAGATTTTCTTAAGCATATACAAAGGTTCAGTCCCTTAATACAGGCCAGGTGAGAATGTTTCCTTGCTGATGTTGTAGGACCAGATGTGATGCACTGCTTCACTGATGAAGATGCTGGAAAGCAGATGAGACTAAAGGCTGAAACCTCTTCTGTCTTTAAACATGACTGTACAGAGATGGAAATCCCACTCCTTGTATCATTTGCTCACATTTACCAGTTTGTCTCTCATTTATTTTTACATTTGAGACCTTTGCATTGAAGACAGCATTCAGGACACAGGAATTAAGTACTCTAAACCAAAAGTATTGTTTCACTTTCAAAAACATGGCAGTGGAGTTTATCCTTTGGAATCCTCACCCGCTTCTGCTCAATATTCGCTCTACGACAGTCACTACATGCCTTATGAGCTAATCATACTCTGTGTCCCGTATGTCTGTTACAGGCTAGTGATGTAATTTTTCTGTCATCTTCCTAGCTCTGTGTGGGTCATTGTGAGCTCTGTGTGGATGTCCACACAAACTATCTGTTCAATAAAAAGCCACAACTACACACATACCACAATGCTTGGAAAACGATGATGTGCGGAAACAGAAGGCAGAGACTCGATTATGAGTAGGAACGTGTGTGTGTCCCATCTGATGGTATGATTAGCTCTTTAGCTAAACATGCCATAAATTTACTCACAGCTAGTGTGGGCCCACCGGAAGGCAAGCAGCCTCGGGGGTACTCGCTATTTCCTGTAGACCAGAAGAGTCACAGATGATATTGGGCTACTCAGAAATGTCATTAATTAGCATGCCTGCAGTACTTTAAATGGCAATGTCCACAGATTTTGAGCACACAGCATAGTGAATGTGTGCATATGCACGAACAGTGTCAGTGTTCCAAATATGTACAGCAAGAGCCATGATGATTAGTCTTTTTGAGTCTTAGCAGTCAAATGTTTTCATGGGTTTTGTTACTTTTTTATTTTCGTGTTAGATTAGAATAGTTTGTGCTTTGATACTCCAGGCACCAACATACTTTATATGTTGTAAACAGGAGCTATAATGTTGCCAATGAGTCCCAATTCAACTCTGGATGTAGAAGGAAATTTCAATCAAATGATTATGAGGAAAAGTCTAAAGATATGAGGAGACTTTTTATGGATACATGTCCATGACAATGCAGAGATACTGTGGGAACACTATGTGTATTATATGCATTTTGTTTTGACTGTGACTGAGAAGTGGCACATTTTTCACTGAAATTGCATCAGTTAGGCTCAAGGCATTAATGATATGCCAGAGGTTGTTAAACTAGTATTACTACTACTACTACTACTACTACTGTTATAATTGATGAAATGTGGGGTATTTCTAAACCAATGCAAAATTCTTAAATGTAAAAATGTGTACATGATATACTTCTGCTGGACTGGTGCTCTCTTCAGTTCTGTTCCTGCTTCTCAACAAATACACACCTCAGTGCAGAGAGGTGAGGAATTATCATCAGTATTATCCAGGTGATGGAGGGATGTAGTCTGTAGTGAACCAGCCTCAGTGCAAATGGCATTGCTGCTACACTAGCTCCCTTCTTGATCACACTTTGTCCAGCTGGGTGGAGTCAGCCTCTGGTCCAGCAGGACTCAATTCACACAGGTAGAACAGTGTCTCCTCACTGGCCTCTGCTTCTGTCAGAGGCTCCAGGCGGATCAGGGAGCTGCGGGTTGGCTGTTTCAGCTCCAGGCTGGTATCCAGCAGCTCTGAGGGCAGCTCAGCCTCTATAGAATCACCGGAGCTGGAGGAAGGCTGGAGGGGTATGTTGGAGGAGCTGATGCTGCTGCAGCCGCTGGTACCCAGGTCCAGCTCTGGAGGAGTACAGCCATCGAGGAAAGCAAGCAGGGGGCAGGTGGTGTACTGGATCAACTGTTTATCTAAATATAAGACAAAGGAGGAGCAGAGAGAAAAATAAATAAATCGGCCTGGACCATATCCAACCCAAGATAGAAAATAACCACAATCACCATTTTATTGACTCAGTTCTGAATGTCCCTCAGGTTGCCTGTTTTGAGTCTTCCCCCGCCCTTTGTCAAAAATTTTTATTCTTTTTTAATGATAAGGTTCTTTCTACCAGAGCTCAAATTTAACCTCCTGTTTACGATTTTTCTGTTTCTCGTCCCTGCACTGCTGTCTTTTACCAGTTTGAGTGTGTGTCCTTATCATATTGTCAGGAGGTGGTTGGGCGACTGAATCCCTCTGGTTCCCCAAATGATGCTGTTCCTCCTCGTTTTTTAAAGGAAATCTTTCCAGTTGTGGGGCCATTTGTTCTCTCCATTATTAATAGCAGTTTATCCTCTGGCCTGGTTCCAAAGATGTTTAAACATGCCGTGGTGCGGCCGCTGATTAAGAGACCTGGTCTGGATCCCACAGTGTTCTCAAATTTTAGGCCCATCTCAAATTTGCCATTTCTCTCCAAAGTCCTTGAAAAGATAGTTTATGCTCAGTTACTGGCTTTCTTAGATGAGCACAATATTCTTGAGACTTTTCAATCAGGGTTTAAAACCCAGCATAGTACTGAGTCAGCCTTGGTGAAAGTCTTAAATGACATTTTTCTTGCTACTGACTCAGGGAATTGTGTGGTCCTAGTGCTCTTAGATTTGACCGCTGCTTTTGACACAGTGGACCACAATATCCTTATTTCTCGTTTGGAGCACTGGGTGGGTATCCGGGGGATAGCTTTGGAATGGTTTCGATCTTATCTTAAGGATAGATCCTTCTGTGTGAAACTAGGAGATGCTGTATCTTCCTCTGAGCCCCTTGTGTATGGGGTACCACAAGGCTCGGTCCTTGGACCCCTTCTTTTTTCCCTTTACCTTCTCCCACTTGGTACTATACTCAGGAATCACAGTGTTTCCTTTCATTTTTATGCGGATGATTGCCAGCTTTACCTACCGGTTAATAAGATGAGCTCTTCCGTTAGCACACTTCTTGAATGTCTGGATGACATTAAATCTTGGCTTGCTTTTAACTTTTTAAAGCTGAATGAGGATAAGACTGAGGTGATTGTATTCGGTGATTCTGTTGGTTCACCATCTGTTGACTTGGGCTCATTGGCTCATTATAATCAAAAGAATATTTTAAATTTAGGTATTAAGATGGATCCAGATTTAAGATTCGACAGCCAAATTGCAGCTGTCATTAAATCTAGTTTCTTTCACCTCAGACAGTTGGCTAAAGTACATATCTCTCCAGTTTTGGCCTCCTTACACTGGTTACCTGTCCATTTTCGGGTCCATTACAAAATTTTACTCTTTGTTTTTAAATCCCTTCATGGCTCTGCACCATCCTACTTAACTGATTCGCTTCATTGGCATACACCCACACGCTCTCTGAGGTCAGCAAATCAGTTTCTCTTGAGTGTCCCAAGAACGAAGCGCAAGCTTAGAGGCGATCGAGCCTTCGCAGTTGCTGGTCCTAGGTTTACAGTTTTCAAAACTGTCCTACAGACAAACTATAGCATGGAGCTCCTGGCGCTCCCCCTGCCAGAGTCAGAATGCGATGCTTGAATGAAAAATGAAGAACAATGACAAAATGTTATTTTAAATACAACCAACATTTATAACTGATATTTGTCAAATTAATTTGGGAAGGAGTCTGAGCGCATGTCCTCCTCTCACCTGTGTTATCTTCCTCTGTCCTTTCTCTGTTTAGCTGTGCAGTGTTCTCTTTGGAGGAAACACACTCCTGAAAACACACAGAGAGGGAATGGTGAACACACACATTATCTTAAAATTCAACTAAAACCTAACATCGCAGATGTAATACACACACACACACACACACACACACACACACACACACACACACACACAATTGGTTAGGTTTACAGTTTTCAAAACTGTCCTACAGACAAACTATACTGACATATGGTATATGTACACCGAAAGAGTTACTGGTCACTGTAGTCACTCCATCTGTCTAGACGAATAGTAGAGTCCTTACTGTTGTGATTCCAGTGTTAGAGGAATCAGTCCTCATTCTGAGTAAAAATAATTTTAAGGTTCATCTTAGACTATTATGGGAATTCAGCTGTGAATTTATACAAATCAAGTGGGTAATTTCCAAAGTTAATCTTTTTACTACTAAATCCCCTTTTCACTTGAATCGACCAACAGTTTATACCAATACACATTATATTCTTCTGCACTCTAGGTTCTTTATAATGTGTATGCTTTGCTGTTTTGGATCATTACTGATCCTTGTACTTTCCAATGGCCTGAACATGGTCAAGCCTACTTTGACTTATGTGTATAAGTGACTTATATATGTGTAAGAAGAGATGCTGTCCTATCTCTGCCTCTGGATTCAAAATCATGTTTTCAGAAAACATTCAATGTCTGTGTATATGAGGAACTGACACATTATCCCCTTAATTATATAGGAATGCATTCAAATACTGTAGCCAGTTCTGTTTTGGATGCAGTTCCAAGTTGGTAAAATAACTATTTCTTAAGATCTGCAGTCAGTGATGTTCTCTGTTCAGTCACTGTTGTCTCTCTCTCTCTGACACTACAGGCGTCAGGTGTATAAAATATGTGTGGATGAATATGGAGGGCTTTGCTTTTTTCTTCCTCCTCTTCTTTACAATACACATACTGACATCTGTTTTTACTAAAATCTAGCAGTGGATAATAATCTGGGATTACTTTCCACTGTGGATAATCATATGGATAAACTGATTGTGAAATGTAACTATTATCTAAAGCTTTCAAATAGATGTAGACTCAAAAGTACAATATTTGCCTCTGAAGTACAGTGAAGTTAAAGTATAAAGTAGCAGAACAGGAAAACACATACCTCAAAATTGTAATGAAGTACAGTACTTGATTAAATATACTTAGTAACTTTCTACAACTGCCAAAAACATTTAACCAGTGATATAAGTAAATTACATTTTGAAATACAAAATAACACTTTAATATATTTCAAATTATGCTTTTTAACTTGCATAAACAATTTTTAAAAATCTCTCTTCTGCTTTTTTTTCATTTAGTCTGACAATGACAAGTGAAAATATAGAGCCTTCTGTATTACTGTTAAATCAAACTGTTTTCAATCGAGAATGAATTCATGAGTTTGCCAAAGATTACCACACCTAGTTTTGGTCCTGAAATGCTATTTAAATTGTGAGACCTTATATACACAGGTGTAAAGTAGGTCTAATCAATTCAGTTTGCCACAGGTGGATATCAATCAAGATACATCGAGGGGAAAAAACAAATACAGTATAATTTGGAGAGCCACCGTAAAGGGTCAGAATACTTTAATAAGAGATCATAAGTTTTGATTTAAAAATTCTCTAAAAACAAGTCTTCATTTTGTCATTTAGGCAAAATTTCATCCATTTCATAATACATTTATAACTGTAAAGTGGGCAAAATGAGAAGGGGTCTGAATACTTCCTGAAGCAACTGTAGATGCTATAGATAATTATAACTGAAAAGTATAGTAAAGTTAGTACAAATAGATGCATTTTGTAAATATTTCATGAAGTGTGTCAGATTTTAAACACAAAAAGTAAAATACTGACTGAAGTTATAGTATCAGAATGCGATGTTTCTAGCTGATAAATTCAATGTGGTAATTCAACATACAGCACCTATTTTATCAGATGATCCAGTGATGGTTTATGTACTGATTGCAGTTGGCAATTATTAACTGCGCACTGTAGAACTGTTGAATGAATTGAGGTCTAAAGAGTTATGTTTTAATGAATAAGTCTGAAAACTGGCTGAGGCTGAAATAATCACCACTAAAAACTCTATGTTACTGATGTCCAAGTAGCACAGTACTGTGCAAACCATCATGTACAGCGTAAGTGGACTGGTTCAGTGTGATGGTGAGCCAAACGAATCATTAAATCGGCTCCATCAAAATAAAATCCTTAAAATTTCATTAGCATTAAAGTTTTACAAAACACTAACAGTGAAGCATATATTTTGCATAACTGCAGCAGACTGACAGTGAGCAGGTTTTAATATCTTAGGATGAAAATTATATTAGCTTCGAGCCTGCCCTGCCAACACCGTGGGACGATGACTTCATGGCAAGTTCAGGTGGTGTCACTTTGACAACCAGCTTCACTAAGAAGGTACTGTCTGTAGTGGACAATAAAGTACCTGGTACTAAAGCCAAGCAGAGTCAAGTCAAGTCAGTGCCAGTGGAAAAGACACTTTTGACCAAGAACTTAGAAGTCCCGCAGTTAGGAGTGACATGCCTTTTATTTTTAGAAGTTTATTCTAACTCAGCCACTTAGGATCTACTTCTAGTCTTGGGATGATTAATGAAAATGGGCCTGGATGAATGTTTTGGTTTAGTGTGTAAGTGATATAATTTTACCTCTAGTGAATCAAAATCTATGCCAAACTGTTTTCCATAAAGCATGGCCTGGAAGTCCTCCAAACTGCAGTCTATACTGTCCAGATAGTCCATCAGCTCCACCCTGACAAGACACAGCACAGGTAACAAAAAAAAGAGGAATGTATGTATTAATCAATCATACTGAAAAGGTAGTTAATTTTAAAGTGTGTGAAGTTTTTAGTTTGTGTTTTACCACAGGCCGGATACACTGTACATATACTTTCATTTCATGTGAAGCCAGTAATTCCCTCATTGTGTACCTTTTGCCAGAGATCTGAACAGATTTTTCCTTCTCCAAGGTATTTCTGTAGGCTCCTCTGTGTTCATTTTGTACACCAAGCACTTCCAAAGTGGGAGTCTGTGCCACTGTGTGTGCAATGTGGACTATCAAGCATGTAAATGTGATCGCCACACAAATATCTCAGACTGATCACCGGCTGCTCAGCGGTCATGGCTGATCAAGTTAAAAACCACCATATGCTAATCTCCAGCAGATTGATTGATGCATCTCTATTTAAATTATATATTTGAAATAAATTACAACAATAACAATGCACTTACTTGCCGAGCAGGTTGATGTTTTGTGATATTGCTCCATTCTCATTCAGTATGGAGTCCATCATCTTCACGGGGTCCTCCACACTCAGGCCTGGGGGCTTATTGAGCTGCAGTGCGCTGCTGGTTGGTGCACTGTTTTCTAAAACGCTGCTCTTTCGGCTGTTGTCTGCTGCAGCAGACACACTTTCCTCTGTCTGTTTGATGTCACCTGTGCACAATGTAGTGCTCACCTCTGTCTCAGCTGGCAGCACTGCACAGCTGTCCAGCTCTACTTCCACAATTTCTACATCCCTGAGGAAGTACATTTTGACAACATGTCATTAAGAGTCACTCCTGACAACTAAATTCAAAGTTTTTTAGCAAAGGAGATTCCCTCAACCTCCTCTCACATTTTAGATACCTACTGAATCAGAAGACCAAACAAACCATTTAGTTTGTACAGACATCCTTCAATTACAGACCCTTTTCATTTCTGTCAAAAAAAAAAAAAAAATCTAAGCTTCAAGACTCAACCACATGAAGCACAGTGACATCTGGTGGCTCATAAAGCCTATAACATGTCTTCAAGACTGGGACAGAAGCTCTACAGCACATCACTGATTTGAATTATTCTAGTCTTGTGTGACAATAAAAGTCAGATAAGCCTGCAAATTGGCAATACATTTGTTCAGACATACTGCATTAAACATAGACGCTATTGTGCAAAATGTGAGTTAAATGACTTATACAGTATATTGCCCAAAAGTCTAGATGTAAAATATTGTTGGTGATGCTAAACATTAATGCACCTAATTAGTGTAGTTCTAGGAATAGTTCAGGTTTTCAAGTTGGTGTGAAAAACAATACTGATGTATCCCTGTGTACGTGAGAATAGGCCTTAGTCCACACTGACCCTGAATGTTTCCACCCGGGCCAAAAATACACAACCCTCGTTCTATACAAAAATTCACTCTGAAGGCCCAGTGGCACCGATGAATACTAACTTCATAGCAGATGTTTTATATAACATTTCATAGAAGTCATGGTGTGACATGATGAGAGAATAGTATTCATTAAATTAACCACTTACTTTTATTACATTATTACTTGATATCAGTCGGAAATGTTCACCTGTTTACCCTTATGTATTACACATGGTAAATTGTAAAATAATTGTATAGCACCTTTCTATGCTTTTACAGCACACTCAAAGCGCTTTCACATTATTCGGCCATTCACCCATTCGCACTCCCAAGCACTCACGCATTCACACACCGGTGACATCACCGGGAGCAACTGGGGGTTCAGTGTATTGCTCAAGGACACCTCGACATGTTGACTGGACAAGCCGGGAATCGAACCGCTAATCCTCCAGTTAGGAAACGACCCACTCTACCTCCTGAGCCACAGCCACCCCCCACATGACAACTGAACGCAGTAGAATAGTGTAAATATCACTTAAAGCATAATGTAGGTCATTTTCTATATTAATAGCATTTTGACCATAACATTAAGTGTGAGTAGAAGTCATTCACTGTTGGATTTAGTCTCTCTATTGGGATGGCTGAAAAATACTATTAATATAAAAAATGACCAGCCAATCAAAGGAGTCAAAGGCAACTAGTCTTACCCTTGTTCATGGGCTCTTGGTGACTCTTCTGTGATCTCAGCTGTTACCTCGTCATCATTTTCAGTCAAGTCACAGATAATAACATCATCGGATATCTCAGAGCCCTTCACACCATTCAGACTGTTGACAGAAGACTACACAAAACGCACACACTCAGAATCTGGACTTCAGCTGGGTTACTCTATAAACTACTACACATTTAACATTATCAATTTAAAACCAAAAATAAACATGCACACTTACAAAGTAAAATATGAGAACAAATCATATCAAGAACATAAACTGATTCACAAGCATTCACTATATGGAAAACATCCCATGTTTACAGTATGTCACCAAGTACTGCAATTTACTAACCTGTTCCACACACACTGCATCATCATAGAGCTGATGAATGTATTTGGGCTTCTTTCCATTGCTGTTCAGAAGAATTGGCCTGCCAAAAAAAACGGACATCAAACATTTAAAGTTGATAGAAATTCCGGTTTACACAATGAGAATGCTAAAATGTTTAGTTATGCAAGATAAGGATATGATAATAATTTAATGACAGGTTTCTCTTGCAAGTTGTTCAAGTAAAAATTCCAGGTTTGCTGTTTACAGCTTTAACAGTGAAGATGTTCTTTTTCTTCATTTCCTCAATCTGTTATCACTAATCATTTAATCAAAAATATAATGCACTAAACAATAACAGATTCAGATTAACAGATTGAAAATAATTAGTTCCAGCTTCATCATGTATTTACCACATGGGGGTCAATTAGCCTTCATTCCAAAAGTAGCTGTTACATGTTATGAAACGGGTTGATATTCTGTCCAACCCTGGCAGTTCATGATGGGCTACATAAATCAAGTTTACAAAAGTGACATACTGTACTGTAAATTTGACTGCTTTTTTGATTTCATGTGACAAACTCATTTGTTGACACCTTACTGAGAAGCCACATTCAGTAATTGTGTGGATGCTGTGAAGCATCCACACTATACTATCCTAGCATTTATTTATTAATCTGGATTCTTCCATCTGTTTTTTAACACCTAATTTCTTCAGCATGCTTTAAGCTAGGATAACCAATCAGGTATCAAAATGTTCAGCTTTTTAAGGATTTGCTTGCATTTTTCTTGTTTGTAACATTTATACTTTTTAAAAAATTCAGCTTTTTTTTTTTTTTTTAGCTAATTTTGCCCTATTAAAATGAATAGGTAATATATTCACATCTTAATAACTTCAGCATACTTTTAGCTAGAAACACGATTTCAACTTTTAGCTATTCGGCAACTCTTCAGCTATTGATACTGTAACCAGCTTTTTGATACCTTTTATGGTTTTTGCATAATTACCATTTACATTTTATGCTTCACTTCAATAGCCACACTAGTAGTCCTCAGGGTGTAGGACTACTCGCTCGCTCACTCACTCACACACTCACACACACACCTACACACACAATCCTACTTGTTTTGCCTACTTTGTGGGGACCAATGGGAAAACATTCATATCTTAATAAGTTCAGCATACCTTCAGCTAGAAAAGCCATTCATATGAAAATGTTCAGCTCTCTGCTGGCATTTATTGCATCTCATCCTTCAGCAATTAATTTCAGGCATTTAAAGGGTGATCCTTTAGCATATCAGCATCCACACGCATTTTTAATAGGAAATGCATTTCTCTAGTTATACTTGGTGACCATTTTATCAATGCTTTTCTTGACAGGTGCACAAACTGTTTGGAAGTTCAGTGATTTAAAGAGAACTATAGTGGGCAGATAGAGAGCAACATTGAATCACTAGGTACTTTTGATACAGAGGGCTCTTTTGAGATAGAGGACTTTTCCCCTCCAGAGTTCCCTGAAGCAGGAGTTGTGGTGGACGACAACAGTGATCCCCACTCATCAATTTGAGCCCCTGTAATGCCCAAAGCTGGAGCTCTCATAGCTGACACAGCGCAAGTACAAGAGAGGATAGGGGCAGTGCACGCAACCACTGGCGCCTAATTTCTAGGCCTGCTAGAAAGCTATGCAGTTCAGAGGTGCTTTTCCGGGCAGAAAGGCAACAGTGCCAACCCATTCTGGCCACTTGCTAACACATTACTAAAACTGACTTTTGCTAAATCAAATCACTAAGTTACTGAAAACACACAAAGTTGAACTACAAGCTAAAGCTAACTGACAACTACTAAAATTGGAAAATTTTACCAACCTACTAATGGTATACTGCTAACAATCCTACAAAAAAAAACTATCAGCAAAGAACTACAAAATTTACAGTGAAATAATTCATGCCAACAATCTAAATAGCCCATCGCTACACTCAATCCAAGCAAATGAGTATAGCAATGACTCTCCACAGTTTGCATCAGCAGGAGACTGATTTTACTGGAGGGTGCAGGGAGGGGGGTGAGGCAGGATGGGGGGAGTGGTTGGTTGGTGATAAAATCTGGCACTGTACACGTCATCTTCCACCAGATCAGCCAACAGAGTGCCATACTAGTGAATCCTAAAACCCAGAACCGAGTTAGCATTGTTGCACTTCTGGTTCCTTTGCCCTGAAGTCAGTGGGATTTTGGTTAAATGCCCGAAATAAGGTCTGTGGTTAACACAAGGTCAAAACATTGTCACATTTTGTTCTATGAAATAAAATATACCAGTAGATAACCTACTTGTGATTTTTTTTTTTAATCCTTTTATGTGTCTTAAAAAGCTGGTTGCTAACAAGTGGCTAAACAAGACTACAGAGGCTGTCTGGGATATTAACAATCAGTGATCATGCCAAATACTGAGTCTCATCTACTCACTAGTCCGCCTTTAAAGTCTCATTGTATTTAAACTAACAGCGTGAGCTCACCTTTTGCGTTTTAAATTCAAGATGTGGTTGTTCTGTACCAGTGTCAGGATGAAATGTATTAGCTGAAAAAAAGAACAGTCTCTGAGATTCTACAGAAAATGCAAATGGATTTGCAGCTCACAACCAATGATGAATGTTATTAATTTATTCTTGCTTATTACAGAAACATCAATTTGAAGTTCTCATTCATTTATCCCTCTAAAAATATCACATATTCAAAGACGGTTCTCCTAGGAAGTTTACAGTGTTCTCAATGGCTCAAGAAGCCAAGCATGTGTAAGCAATCTAAAAAATAAAAAGCAATCTGAAAGACTGTTTAGATTACAGATTTTCTTTTGCTGAATAGATTGTGAAAGGTTTTAACTACTCCCATAGAGAGTAGAATCATATTTTTATCAGAAAATTTCAGAAATGCAGCATATTATTCTGATGGAAGTGGTTTACATGAAGTGTGGATGAAAAATACAGTTACAAACAGTGTACACTGAAAGGTCCAGCATACTGCTCACCTTTTTGATGAGCTGTTGTTGGTGGGCATGTTTCTGTCTCAGATCTGAGATCTCCCTCCAAAAAGCTTCATTCTCCCTAGACAACAAAACAAGTTTGGACAGCAGCAGAACATAGTTAATGCACATGGTCAAGGATAACTAGATAGAAAAGTTGATGACTGTTAGAAGACAGGATGATTATTATTATTATTATGATGTGTAACACCATAATCATAATATTTTCTTATGTTTAAGGTCATGACATGTCACCAGATGTCATGTCAGAATGTTTTTAGATACACACCACTTTATCAACAGACACACACACATTGATTTGCTTCATGTTTTGACTACTGCTATGGCCAGCTGCAAAGCTGGCACCAGGAACACATCAAGGTTGACGTTCCTGTGTAGTATAGGGCTAGCCCAACCGAAGAGATAAATGTATAGGCCTGTTGTGGTTCAGGGTCTTTCATCCTTCAGCTGCCTGCGTGCAGGTTGGGGGGGTACAAGATACCTGAGCGTGTAATGTTAATTTTTACCTGTGTTCACTGAATAAATCAGCACTGTATTGAAGCTACTTGGACTGCCTCGTCTCTCAGAGTTAGCATGGTACAAGTACCGGAAGACTTCAGCATGAAGAACAAAACTGACCTTTTTCAAGGTAAGAGGCTGGTGACAACAGCTACACAATATCACCAAAATCAAGAGCAGACAGAGTAGTTGACTGCAATAATGTCTTCTGACTAGCAAAATAGACGCAAGATTTGTTTCCATAATTCTGTGAGGACGAATGACCCAAAAGTTCTCCTGAACATTATGGAGGTCTGAGCCACAGCTACAGATAACTCTTTCTTGATGTTATTGTTGCCCAAGCAGCTTCAACCAGTTATTAAAGAGATCTAACCTGGAACTGCCTACACCCTTAACTCAATGGAACATGAAGCCCTGATTGTGGTTGGCTCCCCTTTGCTTTTCCACTGTATTTTTCCCTGTGTTAGTCACTGTTTATTCAAGGGCAGGGACAGGAGTACAAGTTCAGTTCCGAGTGAAATTTTGACAGTAGAAGATGTCTAATTATTTACAAACTACTAGAGCCCTGTATAGCCTTGAAAATACTCCAGGATGAATGCAGACATGGACAGCTGGGGACTTGCATGCAGACAGCAGACACTCTTCTATACATACTATATCCATACAGAGACGTGTTCTACATGTGCACTAGAAAATATGATGGCTCCTTGTTTGGTCTATTTGGCTGAAAACTGCCGTCTCAAATTTTGGGCTTATAATATTGGCAATTGCAAACGGGTGCACAAAGATCCTTGCAAACATGGGCAGATGACAGATTTCCATCATGCGGACCCTTGCAGCCATATGGATGCAGAAACCATGAATCAGCCCTGTTTCCAGGACTGATGGTTTTTTTGGTTAATGCCTTCCATACATTTCCTGCAATAACTTGTTCAGTGTTTCACACTCACCTCTTGAGTGTTGCCAGCCTGGCATCAATGCTCTCCTGTTTGCTGTGAACACTCTGAACACTTGCCAAAATCTTGGTCAGGTCTTCCTGTCGAATTTTATTGTCCTCTGGTCGAGCATTAGACACCTGAAAAACAGAGATGATTATAAAATCTTGCATTTACAGTATCTCAACACTGGAAGCATAATAGGATAATGGAAACAAACTATGATCTAATGAACATTTATTTACATTAAAATATGGTTAACCATGTTAGGGTCTCATCTGAGGCTGAGTTAAGAACATCACACTGCTCACCAAATGAGAACATGAGGAACTTTTACAGGCTTTCAGGTCAAACCATGCTTTAGTTACTCAATGAAATAAAAGATTATTTGACTGCATGATTGAAGTTCTGAAATGCGCTTGTTGATTTCTTCAGCCATATTAAAGTTCGGTGCCTGGAAACGTACACTTTCTTCTACACTTCTTCTTGGTCCACACATATACAACAGCCTTCAGACAGCAGATCCGAAGTGGTGTATTCAAATTAACACAGCTGTTGCTGTGCTCATTTATATCCTCAGTGTTTAAAAAAAACAAAACGGCATATTTATTAACTGAATATTCTTCAAACCCAATGGTAACTTGTGAAAATATCCCCCAAAGTGGCATCCGTCTAGCCACTCTACCATAATAGGCCAAACACTCAAAACTTCAGTAATGGTTCAGTATTCTGATGATACATTGTGGAATGTATCAGGAGTGGTCAGGAACAAGAGTTCAGGGACCTTGTGGAGGCCTTTAGGGACTGGTGCAATAAGTGCTGTCTCAATTTGAACACTGCTAAAACCAAGGAGATGGTGGTGGATTTCAGAAGAATGAGGGCACCCCATCAATCAGTCTCCATACAGGGGGAGGAGACTGAGGTGGTGCACACCTACAAGTATCTGGGGGTCCTTATGGATGATAAGTTAGACCGGTCCCCTAATACTGATGCCCATTAGAGGCAGAAGCAAAGTCGCCTGTTCTTCCTGCAGATGATGAGGTCCTTTGATGCATGTTCTGAGATGCTGAGCATTTTTTAAAATCACACTGTGGTGGCCAGTGCATTCTTTTATGCAGTAGTGTGCTGAGGAGGCTGATTAAAGGACAGAAACACCAAGCGACTGGTTGGCTGGTTAAAAGAGCCAGCTCAGTGTTTGGGAGACTGGATCCATCAAAGACTGTGGTGGAGAGGGCTATACTGAATAAACTGAAGGTGATAAAGGGCAATGGCAGACACCCTCTCGACAGCTTTCTGGAGCGGCAGAGGAGCAGCTGTAGCAGTCGGCTCCTCTCATTGCACTGCAGACCAGAGCGGTTCAGGAGATCTTTTGTCCCCACGGCAATAAGGATGTTCAATACCTCCTGAATGAATGAATTAGTTACATGCACTTATATACTTCTGTGCTACAACCAGGCTGGAACAGGGAATGTTAATTGTTAATTTATTTTAAGTAAATTATATGTTTATTTTAATATTATTTTATTGTTGATGAGTGTGTGCATTTGTTTTTATGAGCTACTGGACAGTTGAATTTCCCCTTTGGGGATTAATTTTTTTTTTTCTATCTATCCATTCTATCTACAAGGCAAAATGGCAATTTCAGCCAGAACACAGATGTATTTTAACATTAACTCAGCTAGCCTTACTACCCTGCTAATAACTTATTATTAGAGTTGGAGCTCTGTGATTGACATTTCTGCGTTAAAAACACAAACACGGGGAGGAGGAGCTGTTCACAGATGGCCTATTGCAGCTGTGTGCGAGAAACAGAGCAGGGCAAGGGGTTAGGTGAACCAATCAATGCGCTGTGCGCAGATTAAATAGCAAGGGGGAATTGTTCTGTAGTTAATTGATCACAAATTGTGTAGTTCTCTCAGACATAAAAAAAATATTGTAATAAAAATAGGTGGCCACATATACTTGGATGGCTGTTAAGATAAAGTCCTGCTCATAAGTTTACATACCCTGGCAGAATTTGCAATATGTGTCACTTTTTTAAGTGACACACACACACACACACACACGTAAGAAAGAACGGTACCACAGGTCATTCCTCCCCACAGTCATCAGACTGTACAACACATCACTGCAGTGATAAGCTATGTGAAATTATGAGGGACTATGTAATAATCTACTGAGGTGCAATATTCAGCTCCTGGGGGTGAAATGCATTGTAAATAGGCTCATGTGTAATATCTTGTTCCTGGTCTCTCTCAAATACTGTACATTGCCCTGCTTTAGGTATTTTTGAGTAGATGCTCAGAGATCCTTATGGCTGAAACATAGGTTTCTCTCCCCCATTGTGGGATGAATTGTGTGAGTAATATTCGATTGTTCTTGATTTCCTGGTTGTTTAGTCTCTACTGCTGTTCCTGATTCTCTCCAGTGCTGCTCTGCCCTGTTCTTAGGTGCCTTTGATTTGCTTATTTGTGCTGTGTAAAATGTAACGTTCTCATGACGCTACTAGTGTGTATTGGTTCTAACGCTTTGTTGCCTTTATGTAACTGTGTAAGACTAAGTGTTCTTTGTTGGCAACTTGACCATGCAGTCCATTTTTGTTCAAATATCTCCGTACTGTGCATCTTGAAACACCCACATCACTTTTTTTTTTTCCCTTCATAGAAGCCTGTTATTTCAGATGAAGTTGCTTATAGGTTTTTCTTTGCACTGATACAAATTTTCCTCACAGTGGTGTCTGAAATCTTTTTGGTCTACCTGAGTGTGGCTTGTTATTAAGAGAACCACTAACTTCCCACTTTTTTTTATCAGGGTTTGACCAGTACTGATTGACATTTGCAAATCCTTGGATATCATTTTACTCGTATATCCTTTTCCTGACTTATAATGTTGAACTACATTTTCTCACTATTTATACACAGATACTAATTGCAATCAGAAGAGTAACAGGTGTGGAAACTTAGTCTTAATATCCATTTCAACCTGTGTGTGTCAACTTGTGTATATATTAGTAGCCCAAACATACAAGGGTATGCAAACTTTTGATCTAGGCCATCTGAACTATTTCAGTTATCATCATTATTATTATTAGAAAGGCACATAAATGTGATAATAAATGGCTTCAACTGACCACTATCCCTAAATAAAAGAAAGACTTTCTGCTTCAGCAGTCATATTTTCCATCCATCCATTATCTAGCCAATCCCAGCTGTCACTGGGCAAGAGGCAGGGTACACCCTGGACAGGTCACCAATCTATCACAGGATGTAATATTTTCAAAAAACAGTCAATATTTTACAAACTTTGCCAGGGGTATGTAAACTTATGAGCACAACTGTACCTGCAGCCTGACCAAGTAAAGTCTATGTGTAAGAAACATTGCTACACGTCAGTAAAATATTGAGTGCTTCATTTCAAATTCATTGTGGTGGAGTACAGACGCAAAATTCCAAGAATTGTGTCCCTGTCCAAGTACTTACAGACCAAAAATGGAATTAAAATGATTGATTCTGTTGAGAGGTAACAGACAGATTATAGAAAGATGACTACACCTTCCTCTTGATGTTATCCAGCAGATCATCCTGTCCTTGTTTGAAGTAGGGGTGCTGAAACTCCACTGGACCATCTCTCTCCTGTTTTACAATGCCCGTGTCAATGTGCATCACTTTACGGAATCCATCTGAATACACACACACACACACACACACACACACACAACATTAAAAACAGCAACAAGCATGGCCAACACCCACCCACCCATTCATGTCACATGAATACAAGCCATACAGTCATTGCCAAAAATATTGCCCCCCCTGCATTTCTGTCTGGTAACGCACCACTTCTCCCAGAAAACTGTTACAATCAAAATTCTGTGGTAATCTCATGTATATTTCTTTTGCTTGCATTGGAACAAAAATGATGAAACAAGCCAAATCTTATACATTCCACACAGAACAGAATTACTGACACCCTTAACTTAATATTTTGTAACACACCCTTTGGACAAATTAACCGAAATCAGCCTCTTCCTGTAACCATCAGTGAATTTCTTCCACCTCTCTACTCGAATTTTGGACCACTTCTTTTGCCAGGTCTCTCAGATTTGAAGGGTTCCTTCTCCCAGCTGCTACTCTAAGATCTCTTCTCTGTGCCTGCAGGTCAGTTTGAATTTGTTTGGAAGTTGATTCTTTATCCAGCATTCAAACAATCCTGTCCATGTTTTTCCACTATTGTGGTTCTCAAATCCTCAGCCAATTCTTTGCCCTTCCGTCTTTTCTTCATGCTCAGTGTGGTCCACACCAATGAATTTGTGATTGCAACAATTTTCTACGAGAAGTGAGTTGTCTGACAGAAGAACAGTAGTGCAAATATTTTTGGCCATGAATGTAACGTAGAGCTATCTGTACATTATTACAGTGGTAATGACCTGGTTTAAAATCTACACAAACCTTATAGTGGTAAGAAAACCTGAAAGAGCGATGATCTAGGATGCACTATGATATTCTTTTATTGCCTTTCACTCCATATTTTGGCTCCCAGGAGGTACAGTAAAAGGTACTTCAATAAAACACACACAAAAAAAAAGCAATTAAACTGAATTACAGTGAACAGATGTTCCTATTTTGCTAGTATTTTAGTGTCCTAAATGATTATACAAAAACATTTATCATAATACATGCAATTTCTGCAAAAAAAAAGGCAGATGTACTATGATAGACGATTTTATTCATATTGCCCTCTTATTGGAATCATGTGAGTCATACAATGCATTGACAGTAGAACACAATTAATCCATTTCAATACTGATTTGATTATATGCTAATTTGCATATTATGATACATGTTATTGCTATATATCAATCAATTATCATACATCTTTGAAAGTCCTACTACTGGTTGTCATTATTCAATCCTAAATTGTTAATTTTAAAAAATGACCCTTAAATAACACCAAACCAGAGATTCAACACTGGACCACTGAATTCAAAGTAACACTTGGCCAAAAACTTATAAAATGTTTATATTGTGGCCACTATAGCTCCTGTATCTATATAACTATGTCTTAAAAAGAATAAACCCTGGTTCTGCAAAACATTTGCTCAAACTAGCTTCAAAAATGTCACAGTATGATGAGATTCTTTGTTATATCTGATAGTATGCTGAATATGTTTGGAGTTTGATATGTTTGAATACAAGAAAGCTATGTGACCATGTCAGCTTGAGCTGTGGGAAACTGTAACAGCCATTTTACTCTTTATTTAATTACATTTAACAGACCAAAACAAATAACTGATTAACTGGGAAAATAATTGTCAGATTAATTAAAAGTGAAAAAAGTTGCTAATTGCAGCCCTGGTTCTGTCCCTGATTCACCTAGCACATTAGTTACAGTGCACTAAAACTAACACTGACAGTAAAAGTTGACTGGGTTATGTGTCACTACAGACATCTAGGATATGAGTGCAGCTGCAGGCTAACCCTAGTATTAAACAGCCTTATCCAGTGGACAGGCAGAAGGCCTACTCTGAACCTCTGTAAAACCGGTGCATAGCACTAATGCCAGAACGCGTGTGCTCTGATATGTACAAACTAAGCCCAGGTGATAAACGCAGACTTACACATATTGAGCTGCCTGATGAAACTAGCCATGTTGTTGTGCTTGAAGAACTTGGGGAGGATCTCCTTGGCAAAGCGCTGCTCATCCAGTACTAGGAAGCTGTTGCCCTCCTGTAAACAATCAACCTTAACATGACAGTCAAAACTGTTTCTCCGAGGGCTACTGGATCTATTGTATTATACAATTTAACTCCAGCTATGCAATCACAGCTTTACTGTGACTCGGTGCCAAAAATAATAGATGAAGGGATGCTGGCATGACAAAGAGATTTAAACTGGATTTGGCTTATTATGTTAGCTAACCTTCTGGTAGACAACTAAGGAAATTATTGAGTAACTACTTAATCGTTGATGTTTAGCTTCAGCTAATGCATGCTAGTCGTTCTGTGTCCTGAAGTGAATCCGTGGTGTGCATATATTACGACTGATGGACCCGTAAATAATGCTAATTGTGTGATGTGGCGAGATGCTGCCCTCGCTACGGTAATTTAAGGCTAACCTCAATAGCTAGCTAGCTAGCTAGCTAGCTTAGTTGTCTGCCTCGCGTTACATTTTATGACTGGCATGCTAACAGTATACAATTTTTGCGTTACCTGACTCCAGCAAATTAATTCATTGGTGTCTGCATCCTCTACGAGCGTCCACAGCTTGGTGAGGAAAGCCGGTACGTTCGAGTTGTGTTTCATCTCGTAAACTCAACAACAAATACACTTTAATTAAAATGCGCAATGTTTTAGAGCCTGTATGAATAGCTGGACAACTCTGACGCTTTGAGAAAAATGCCAATGGCTTACAACTTCCGCTTCTGGTGAACGGCAATGGATTGGTTTTACCAGAGCCGCTAAGTTAGAAAAGTTGCGACATTGAGGGGTCAAAAATGGCAGCAGGTCACGTGATTTGTGTAGCTTCAAATACATTGTTTTCTCTAGGGAACAGCGAGATTTATGAGCAATTATCATTTGTAATATTTTGTACAGCCATAAAAATTAATTTTGTGTTCTGTTGATGTTATCTAATTTAGCTAGGTGCCTAATATTTATAGTAGCCCAATATTTGCTAGACCAGTCAAAGGCTTGTAAAACGTGTTTTCGCATATGTTGCTAACTTAAAATGTCAGTATAATTATTGCCATTGATGTCAGCTTCTTACTTTGGAAGACAGCTTTCAAGTCAGTATAAACTCCATGGCACCGCTGCTAATGTCTTGAACTAGTCAATGTTCTCAAAATCCACAATTACAGTTTAAAAATAACGGTCCCTATAGAGTTAGTGGAGATGTGGCCACTTTTCTTCTTAATCCACTCTGGGTTTTACGTAAGACACCTCACGTGGAGTTCCATGCAAACAAAAGAGATAACCTTGTACGTTTTCTCTGATAGCCAACCAAAAGGAAATGTTGTTACAAAAGGAAGCTTGTTTAGAGGCAGTGGTAATTAGTTACACCCTTGTGCAAATGAATTGAAACAAACCCTGAAAAAACAAAAATCAGTTTTTCTCAATTTTCTTTATATGACCAATATTCTAACACTCACATCAGTACATGATATGACCTCCTCGACTCTTGAGAAGCATCTGGATGCAATTTGGCATCGAATCCACCAATTTCCAACAGTCTAGGATGATTTTGGGGTCCCATTTGTGCCAAACTTGAATTAGGACCTGAATCATCTTCTCCATGGTTGTGCAGTCCATTCCACGAAGTCGTTGCTTACAAATAGACCACAAATTTTCAATTGGGTTTAGATCGGGAGAGTTTCCAGGCCAGTCCAATGTGTTAATGTGATTCTCCTCAAAAAAATTCTTCACCTGTTTGGATGTGTGACACGGGGCCAAATCTTGTTGAAAAACACCTGATCCATCAGGAAATAACTTTATCAGTTCTGGAGCAACTTTTCTTCGGAGAATTTCAATGTATTGTGGTGAACGCATCATGCCTTCAACTGGATGCAAGCTACCAATGCCATAATAGCTGAAGCAACCCCAAAACATCTTTTTTTGTGGGTGTTTTACCCTCTGGTCGATGTGGGCATTGCAGAGCTTTTCAGTTGGTGACCTCCGAACATGCTGACTTCTCTGTCCCTGAACGAAAAAATGGCTTTCATCACTAAAAAGGACTTTCTCCAGTCTTCTTCAGTCCAGTTCTTGTATTTCAATGCCCATTTCTAACGTTTTACTTTCATAGTGTTAGAAATTAATAAATCAGTCAGATAATTATTAGATTTTAATGTGTTATTGATGCAGTTTAGTAAGATTCAAAGTCTGCTCATGTGTGCTGTTCTTCAAGGTTAGAAGATAATGTCGACTATGAGAAGGGTACCTTGACACCAGTTATTTTTCTATTAATCTTGTGTAAGAATTATGTCTGAAATATAAAGGTGTGTGTCAATCAAGATATATGCAAGAACAGGCTCAATGATTATATTTTGTAACCATTCTTTAGTATATCAATTGTGTGATTTAAGAATGTTAACACTGTTATATTCTTTTTTAGTATAATGTGTGTGTGTGCAGAAGTGAATCATTTATTGCTTGCAAACCAATGATGGTAAGATGATGTCATGGGGTAGGACTGGATAAGTCTGACTTCTTCCTACTCCGGGTTTGTGTTTCTGTAACTTTTTATTGTGGCTTTCAAAATAAACCAGCACTAAAATGAAGCAAGTCGGACTCTGTCTTCATTCAGATCTGTTCACTTAAAGAACTGGGGTATAACAATAGCTTTGGTCAGGAGTTGTGTTTTCACTGGCCGTGGTTTTCCTCTTTCGACCACATTTACCTTTGCGCTTTGGAGAAACAGAGCCTGTTTCCTTCTTCATTTTGATCACACGGCTCACAGTTGCAAGACTGACCCCTACAGCTCCTGCTATCTCCCTGTAGGTCTTTCCTGTGTGTTCATGTAAAGTCAAGATACTTGCACGCTTTCTAGGTGTTGCATCCATCTTGTAGAACAACTGGATTAGAAATGATAGGCCCTAAAAGCATGGATCACTATTTATATGAACTATAATGCAATCACAGATGATATAGTATAGGGTATGTTTTACATCATCTACTGATTATTGCATCAGAAAATGATTAAATAACATCTCCTTGGGGAAAAAGGAACAAAGAAATGTAAATTTATAACTTTTTCCTGCATAAATTCATGACTATCCATGAAAAGATGAGAAATTGCAGTTTCTTTCAATTAATTTGCACAAGGGTATATATGTAAAAATGGGTTGATAAATGTGAAAGGATGGATAAAACAATACATTCTTACGCAATGAATCAACATGAAGAAATTGTGCTGAAAGCGGTTCACCGTTTGGACGCATTTAACAATCAATATGGCGATTTCTGCTGGTCAGCTCTGTTGACCACCCGTTCTTTTCACCACATTAACTCTGAGAGACGAGGCAGTCCAAGTAACTTCAAAACAGTGCTGATTTATTCAAAGGATCACAGGTAAAAATTAACATTACACGCTCAGGTATCTTTGCACCTCCAACATGCACGCAGGCAGCTGAAAGATGAAAGACCCCGAACCACAACAGGCCTATACATTATATTACCTCGGGCTAACCCCATTCTACTCAGAGAGACGCCAAACCGTGACATCTCCCGGTGCCAGCTTTGCAGCTGACCATAGCAGTAGTCAAAACATGAAGAAAATCAATGTGTGATTGTCTGTTGATTATGTGGTGTGTATCTAAAACATTCTAACACGACCTCTAATGACATGTCATGACATTAAGCATAAGAAAATATTATGATTACGATTATGATTAAACACGTCATAATAATAATAATAAACATTCTGTCTCCTAACAGTCATCAACTTTTCTATCTAGTTATCCTTGACCATGTGCATTAACTATGTTCTGCTGCTGTCCAAACTTGTTTTGTTGTCTAGGGAGAATGCAGCTCTTTGGAGGGAGATCTCAGATCATAATAATACTAAACATTCTGTCTCCTAACAGTAATCAACTTTCTATCTAGTTATCCTTGAACATAAACAACCTGAAGTACCCCATGGGAATGACTAAGCATTTAACAGCCTGAGCCAGACATCCTGTCTACACTAAACTTTTCTAATACATGAAGTGTCTAACCAATGTCTATTTGACTAAAAATACCTAACAGCTCTTTACAGTATTTTTCTATGCAATATTCGTTCATGAAATCACGAAACACCAAGAGAACAGACCATGGTTCCCTTAAATGTTAAGAAAAAAAAGTAACCCCCACCCTCCAACTAAAACAATAACATACAGCAGTTACACATGTAAGATTTGATTCTTATAGGCTCTAGTTACTTTGTAAGCTTTAGTTACTTGTGTTGGGACCCGGTACTTTTCACCACGCTAACTCTGAGAGACGAAGCAGTCCAAGTAACTTCAAAACAGTGCTGATTTATTCAATGAACACAGGTAAAAATTAACATTACACGCTCAGGTATCTTTGCACCTCCAACATGCACGCAGGCAGCTGAA